ACAGTGTCCTGTGGGGTAGACGAGGTGGGGGCCTCTCCATGGAAAACTGGGCATTCATAGGCCTGCCCTTTCTGCTAAGACACACCTGCATAGTCTGTCTTTAGTTTTATTGTTTTTACTCTCTCACCAAGAAAGTGATATTATAACTTTCAAGAGATATTTTACCACATCCTTCTGTATGCATGGAATAAATGCTCCATCACCTTCTTTCTATGCCCTAACAGAACATCTGACAGCTCGCTACATTCAGAGTCATACCTTGAGAATCAGAATGATGCACATCTTTTACCAGCTTTGGACAAATCATCAGAAAAGCTGGCGTCATCTCCGAGAAGACTTAATAGGCAGAGACAAGGAAAATCATATTTCCTCAAGGAGGACAGCATAATGCTGGGAGAAGGAAGCCTTTGGCTACTTTCCCACTATCTCACATGAGGCTTTTCCCAGAACCCATCTCCAATTAAATAAATGGATTTATGTTTATCCAAAACCAGGTCCAGGTCAACAATCAAACCAATCCCAGATCTCACTTACTCCTCTCCCCCTTTATGACCCTTTTCTTCATTTCATCATCCTCTCAGGGGGTCTTCCTGGAACCTATTTATCTTCTTATGTGGCTGTATTTTCGTGTGTGTATGATTTATATCCACAGCTGAACTGTGCAAGCATGCAGCAAGGCCTCATCTATTCAGTTAATCCCGTGTCAGCCTACTCTGCACACACAGGATCCACCTTCCTCACGCTCCTCTTTTCAGAAACATCACCATTCATGCCTGAGGGCAAGTAGCAACATCTGCCTAAAGAATTAGTGTCACAGCTAATATCACAGCTGCTAGCAGGCAGGAGTGCTTCCCAGAGCCAGGCAGCCTACCAGGTGTTTCTCAAATGAGGAAGACTTGTCAGAGAATCTCAGTCTGGATTCTTCTGCACCTCTTTTCTCTCACATACCTGCACTGGATTATTTTTTTTTAATTTTTTCATATTTTTATTAAGGTATTATATGTGTACATATCTTACCATTGCCTGCCCCCTCCACTCCACTTCCATACATGCCCTTACCCACCAATGTTTTGCTTCCATTGGTTATGCTTATATGCATACATACAAGTCCTTCAGTTGATCTCTTATCTCCCCCACCTCTCCCTAACTTTCCCACTGTAATTTGACAGTCTGTTTAATGCTTTACTGTCTCTGCAACTATCTTTTTGTTCATCAGTTTATAATGTTCATTATCCATAAATGAGTGAGATCATGTGGTATTTTTCTTTTATTGACTGGCTTCTTTCACTCAGCATAATGTTCTCCAATTTCATCCAGGTTGCTGCAAATGGTAAGAATTCCTGCCTTTTTATGGCAGCATAGTATTCCATTGTGTAGATGTACCATAGTTTTCTAATCCAATCATCTGCTGATGGGCACCTAGGCTATTTTCCAAATCCTAGCTATTGTAAATTGTGCTGCTATGAACATAGGAGTGCATATATCCTTTTTGATTGGTGTTTCTAGTTTCTTAGGATATATTCCTAGAAGTGGGATTACTAGGTTAAATGGGAGTTCCTTTTTCTTTTTCTTTTTTTTTCTTTTTTTTTTTTTTTTTTTTTTTTTTTTTTTAGAAAACTCCATACTGTTCTCCACAGTAATTGCACCAGTGTGCATCCCCACCAGCAGTGTGTTCCTTTTTCTCCACATCCTTGCCAGCACTTGTCATTTGTTGATTTGTTGATGATAGCCATTCTGACAGGTGTGGGATAGTACCACATTGTCGTTTTGATTTGCGTCTCTCAGATAATTAGTGACTTTGAGTGTATTTTCATGTCTCTTGGCCTTCCTTCTATCTTCTTTTGAAAAGATTCTATTTAGGTCCATTGCCCATTTTTTAATTGGGTCATTTATCTTCCTTTTATTAAGTTGACTAAGCTGTTTGTAGATGTTGGAGATTAAACCTTTATCAGTGATAACTTTTGCAAATATGTTCTCCCATACAGTTGGCTTTCTTGTTGTTTTGTTGATGGTTTCTTTTGCTGTAAAAAAGCTTTTAATTTTGATGTAGTCCCATTTGTTTATTTTCTCTTTAGCTTCCATTGCCCTAGGGGCAGTATCAGTGAAGAAGTTCTTTCAGCATATGTCTGAGATTTTGCTGCCTGTGGATGCCTCTAGTATTTTTATGGTTTCCCGTCTTATGTTTAAGTCCTGTATCCATTTTGAGTTTTTTTATTATGGTGTAAATTGGTGATCTAGTTTCATTTCTTTGCATATATCTGTCCAATTTTCCCAACACCATTTATTAAAGAGACTGTCTTGACTCCATTGTATGTTCATGACTCCTTTGTCAAATATTAATTGAGCATAGTGGTTTGGGTTGATATCTAAATTCTCTATTCTATTCCATTGATCTATATGTCCATTCTTGTGCCAGTACCAAGCTGTTTTGAGAACAGTGGCTTTGTAATACAGCTTGAAATCTGCTATTGAGATCCCACCTACTTTATTCTTCTTGCTCAGGTTTGCTGTGGCTATTTGAGGTCTTTTTTTTGTTCCAGATGGATTTTTGGAGAGTTCTTTCTAGGTCTGGGAAATATTCTATTGGTATTTTAATGGGGATGCACTGGGTTATTTTGTTGTCACTGTTCACCTTGCTCCACAGGAGCTGAAGTTTAATACTCTGGTAGGAGAATTTGTTCTCTTGATTATCTTTGGTTGACCAGGTAAATACTCTGTAGAGAAAAAACTTTCAAGAGTCTTTAGGTGACTTGATCTTAGCTGTGTATGTCATTTAGGAAACTTTCAAATAAGTTTCTGGAATCAACCTCCTCAAAAATCCAGAGCATTTTCTGTAAATCACAGAGCTAACTATTTGAAGATATTGGCCTGTGAGTCATGCTGGGGTTGCTAGTTTTAACCTAAGATCAGTGAAAAGTCATGAAAATGTGTAAAACAGTGGGGTGGCCTGCTGAGCATCTCATGTTGACAAGATGATTGGCTGTACTGAAGTTCTGTAACACCTGCTGTTTGTAATAATACCTACATTCAGATTGTGCTTCCAGTTTATGGAATTGTAGTTTTTATTGATTTTATTGGGGTTTCATTGGTTAATAAAATTATATAGGTTTCAAGTGCATAATTCTATATCTTCTGTACATTGTATCATGTGTTCACCACCCGAAGTCTAGTCTCCTTTTCCCCTCTTCATAGTTTACCTACATAGATTGTCAAACAAAGCAGAGATTACAATCCCCACTTAGTGATTAGTTTGTTTCCAAGGATATGAGGGTCTTAGACAGCAATGTTGTCACCATCTGTAGCCATTCTTTCAGGCTCCTTCCTAGTAGATCCAAGTCAGACTGTCCTTCAGTCTTTTGTTGTTGTTGTTGTTAATCCTCATCTGAAAATATTCTTCCATTGATTTTTAAAGAGAGTGGAAAAGAGGGGAAGAGATAGATAGAGAAACATCAATGTGAAAGAGATTCATTGATTGGTTGTCTCGCACGTGTGCCCCATCCAGGGCCGGGGATTGAGGCTGTATCCAAGGTACATGCCCTTGACCAGACTCAAAACCATACCCTTCAGTCCTAGGACCAATGCTCTCACTGATCCAAATGAGCCTGATTGATGTCTGACTGCTCCTCTGCTAGCCTTTTTGCCCCTAACTACCCTCCCCTATAGGCCTGGTCACCCCCAACTGCTCTTCCCTGCAGGCCTGGGTTGCCCTCAACTTCCCTTCTCTGCTGACCTGGCCACCCCTAACTGCCCTCCCTGCAGGCTTGATCACCCATAACTGCCCTTGCTTGCAGGCCTGGCCCCTTCAAATTGCCCTCCCCTGCTGGCCATCTTGTGGCAGCCATCTTGTGTCCACATGGGGGCAGTCATCTTTGACCACATGGGGCAGCCATCTTGTGTGTTGGAGTGATGGTCAATTTGCATATTATTCTTTTATTGGATAGGATAGAGGCCTGGTGCACTGGTGGGGGCTGGCTGGTTTGCCCTAAAGGATGTCCCGGATCAAGGTGGGGGTTCCCTTAGGGCATGGGGCACCCTGGGCAAGGGGCCTGTGGTGGTTTTCAGGCCAGCTATGCCCCCTACTTCCCAAGCAGAGGCCCTGGTATCTGGGATTTATTTACCTTCTATAATTGAAACTTTGTAGCCTTGAGGGGAGCCAAGCCTCCTGCTCACTCCATGGCCACAGCCATTTTTGTTGGGATTTATTTATCTTCTATAATTGAAACTTTGTAGCCTTGAGCAGATTCCAAGGCAGTGCCAGAGCAGGCAGAAAGCAGGGTTCCTCCATTGCCAGGGAAACCAAAGCCTCCTGCTCTCTCCATGGCAGCAGCCATCTTGGTTGGGTAAATTTGCATACTCACTTCTGATTGGCTGGTGGGCATGGCTTGTGGGTATAGCTTAGGTGTGGTCAATTTGCATATTACTCTTTTATTAGATAGGATATGATGTACATGTATGTATATGAGCAGGTATTATCTATGCATATTTTTAATCAACTTTATTTCTATTTGTTCCAGGATATTTCATTTAATGACATAATTCATTTAATGGAAATTATTATTTTTAGCTACCATATTATTTGGGTTTATTTTCTTGTTTATCTACTAGAGGCCTGGTGCACAAATTTGTGCACCAGTAGGATCCCTAAGCCTGACCTGCAGGATCAGGCCGAAACTGGCTCTCAGATATACACCAGAGGGTCCTGATTTAAAAAGGGTGCAGGCCAGTCTTATAGACCCCACTGGTGCATAATCAGGGCTGGAGAGAGATGAGGGAGGTTGACCATCCAGGGAGGAACTGCAGGAGTGCTCCAGGGCATGTCCGGCCCATCTCACTCAGTCCTGATTGGCTGAACCTCAGCAGCAAGCTAACCTACCAGTCAGAGCATCTGCACCCTGGTGGTCAGTGCATGTCATAGTGAGCAGCTCAGTGGCCTTAGCATACCATTAACATATTACACTTTGGTTGAATGGCTGACTGGTTGAATGGACACTTAACATATTAAACTTTATTATATAGGATTTGTTTAGGATAATTGCTTAGAATTTTAAGAAAGAAAGAAATAAGCCTCAAAAAGACGCCTCCATGACGGCTTCTGGTATTGCTTCATCCCAGACCAGGCCAGTGCAGGACCTCTGACTGGGCCAGATGCTCGCCCATGCACAGGCTCTTCCTTTGGCTCTGAGATGCTCTGGATCCCTGGATGTGGACCTGGAACAGGAGAGAGAGACAGCACACACTTGCACACAACTGCTTTCTCAGGCCTTTCCAAAGACAGGAGAGAAGCCACTGCCTTGAAGGGAACTCCAGCCTGAGAACCTCCCCTCCCCTGGTCATCTTCCTAGACTGCAGTCCCCTCACCTTCTGGTGAGGCTTTTGTAGGCTTTAGATGCTCCAGCTTGATCCAAACAAGGTGGGCAAGGGCCACATGATGTGAGGTAGGGAAGTGGACCTGCACTGAGGCCTGCTTCAGCTGGAACCAGGGGAAGTGGAGAGCCCTGCCAAAACCCTGCACCTTGTCAGGCCAGGTTCCCATCATAGAAGCAATAGTCCTGGGGAAAGGCAGGTGGGAAGCAGTGTCAGAGTCCTGGTCTTTGCTTGCACACTGCCCTTCCATGGCACCCTTGTTTGGCACAGGGCCTCTGTGCCTGCCCTGACCATCCAGGGGACAGCTTCATGCCATTCCTGACACTTGTGTAGCTGTTTTGAGAGTAGTAGGCCTGGTTATTGAGCAGCTCACATGGAGTCTGTGTGAGTCTCTTCTTCCCCCTGACATTTGTCCTGAAAGTCCTGTCCCCTGTCCAGCCCAACCCTCTATGCATCTGGCATCTGTACTGAGTATTGAGACAGATTTGTGAGCAGGTTGCTCACCACATATCCTGGTGACTGATCAGGAGAGATTACTGTGAATAAGGGCAGGCAGAGCAGGATTGGATCGGGGTGGGTTTGGGACTCTGAGGGACTTCTCAACCCACCCTCTGCTTCAGTTCTATGAGGCTGGGGGCCCCATCCACAGTCCTCTCTGACTCCTCTACTACCAGAATAGAAGCCACCAGGGCTCAGGCCTCCATTGGGAATCAGATGATGTGTAAGGTCACAATTCTGCCAGGCCCTCCCCATCCACAGCCTCCATCCTGTAGATACAGGAGGCCCTCCTTCTGGACCCAAAGACCACTCACTTTTTTACTTGGTCCTGTAGTGTGTCTCTCTGGTCATTATAAGGAGGTATGCCTCCAGTCGTGGAAAAGATCTTGACAGCATCAGATCTGATGGATGGGGGATTGGACCTGCGAATGATGGACAGAGTGATTGTCTGATTCACTGAGTAGACTGCAGGCCCAGGAATTGTGTCTGTTTCATTGGCCGAGTTATGCTAAGTGTCTTCAAAAGTGATGACTTACAGTAAGTGCTTAATACACATTGTCGAATAAATGAATGCCAACCAAAACTGTCTCAAATGGCTGAGTGGGCCTAGGGGCTCTCCTATTCCAAGAAATCCCTAATCTGCCAACACCAAAGACAATGACCAGGATCAGCTAAGTGGATTCTCAATCTTGTTGACTGGTTGTTTTCCATGTGCTTTTGCAATCTCAGAAATGCCACAGACCAAGAAAAATATAAAAACTAAAAAAAGAAAGAAAGAAAGATGAAACCCCACAAATGACATAGGCCACTGATGGGTGAGTTTTCCTGGGGAAATAATTGAGAGAAATAATTGCCATAAATTATCACAGCACATCTAGTAGCCCTTTCTGCAGAGCCAGGCAGCAGGTAAGCACCTGCCCTGGATTGTCCCCACAGTCTCTACCACCCCACTTTTCAGAGGGCAAACTGAGGCTCAGAGAGAAAGCACACAGCTAGCAGTGGGCAGAGTCATCCCTGTGTAGAGGAAGGGGGCATGTGCTCACCTCGTAAACAGCTGGTCCAGGAACTGTTGGGCTCTACAGAAGGCTGGGTGACTGGGCATAAAGGTGGTGATGTGGGAGATGTTTCCAGCAAGGAAAGCTGGTACCATCAATGCTGCCACTCTTCCCAGTGTGCCTTCCTGGAGGGCTCGCATCCTGCGGGCCTCGTGTAGGTTAAGTGTTAACTCAGCTGCACACTGGGTGGGACAAGGAGAGATCCTATCAGTGGCATCCCCGTGAACCACCTGGAGGACTGATCTGGAGCTCAGCCAGGGACTCCTAGCCCCTCAAGGGCATGTGCAAGAGGAGGGCCTGGAGGACCCATGCTGAACAAGGTTCTAGGTTTTAAATGTACCACTTATGTTTGGCGGAGGAGGTGTAGGGTATTTATACACTTGTTACCTTCTAGGCATTTTTTTAAAAACTAAGGAGCAATAGACCTCCCCGTATTAGTAGTCTGTATGGAGAGCATTGTCCCCAGGAGTCCTGAATAAACATCTTTATAGAGATGAGAACATAGTGGCTTAGGGATGTCAGGTGTTGCTTAAAGTCCTGCAGGTCAGAACTAAGAGTTGTCCCAAGCTAGGGCTGTATGACATTCCCTCTTAGCTGCCTGACACTCATTTGCTCCTGATGTGGTTGGGGAACCTTGTCCTTCCCCAGTTGGAAGCCATTGACTTCCAAAAGACACTTACTTTTCTTCCTATTACATTAGACGGTAGTTTGAGACCTTCAAGATGGGGATCCTAGAGTAAGCAAAGGGGCAAGTGCCTGGAGACTACAGACCATAAAAGCCAATCACCAGGCATGAGTCTAAGCAGATGACTCCGAAAGGAGCCAGTCCATGTGGCTGAGGAAAAGCTGTCACATGAGTAAAAATACCCATGAGGCAATTGCCAGTCAAGGAACACTGTGATTGCCTTGGACAACCTGGCATTGGATTGGTCAAAATTGAAATGAGTGAGAGATCCCTGGACCAGACTGGGCATGATGCAGCAGCCATCATCACAAAACTGATGTTGGCAGCATCACTGATATAGCCTTTTGATTTGGAATCTGACTGCAGCTGTTATCATTTTACTAGTGAGTGTCCTGCCACCAGCAGTGGGCATCTGTATCCTGCTGGGAATCATATGTACATTATTGTCTAAATTGTATCATCCAAATTCTATGACTTTGGAACCCCTGGAACTTCAGAATGTGCCTGTCTCTGAGTTGGATTCTTTAAGCAAGCCATTAAGATTAAGGGGAGTCAGTAGTGTAGGTCTTTATATATATATATATATATATATATATATATATATATATATATATATATATATATTATTGATTTTTTACAGAGAGGAAGGGAAAGGGAGAGTTAGAAACATCAATGAGAAAGAATCATCGATCAGCTGCCTCTTGCACGCCCCTTACCGAGGATGTGCCTGCAACCAAGGTACATGCCTTTGACCAGAATCGAACCTGGGACCTTTCAGTCTGCAGACCAACGCTCTACCACTGAGCCAAACCGGCTTCGGCAGTAGTGTAGGTCTTAATCCAATATGACCAATATCCTTTGAAGAGGGGAGAACACAGAGAATCACAGCGAGGACTCCATGTGACACAGAGAGAGAAGACATCCATCTACATGCCAAGGAAAGACCCCTCAGGAAGCACAGCCCTGCCGACAGCCACCTCTTTAATTAGTAGTCTCTGGAATTGTGAGAAAATGTCTGCTGTTTACAACAACCAGTGTGATTCGATGCTATAGCAACACAAGGAAACTCATACAGTCCATCTGGACACAGGTAAGTATTCCCAGCTGCACTGCTGACATGGTACATGAATGAAGTTATGCCATGCCCAATAGCATGGAAAGGCTGCATCACAGTGGCAGACCCCCTCTGTTATTGGAGGAAGTCTGCAAGGACAGCTGAGCTGACTGCTCCACAGGCTACTGGGGCAGTAGTTTAGGAAACATAACCAAGGAAATATACAAATGTGCTCATGGCCTATTGTGAAATGAAAGAAGGTATTTTTTTTTTATCTCTAATATTCCTATAAATGTGTGAGGAGTGTCTTTATAGCCTCCTGTGTAGCTGGAGGGAGAAGAGGAGGTCCAGAATCTTTCAGGCATGGGACTGTGGGTCACTTTAGGGTAAGCTCTGGAAGAGCCCCCAGGGAGTCCCCAGAGTTGAGTCTGAGTTCTGAGCACTGCCAGGTCATCTTGGGGGTTGTGGGTGTGGAGAATCCCCCTGGGCCAGCTCTCACCTTTGTCTGCCATTGGATGGTGTCTGTGGCCTGGCACACCTTCCCTTGATGTAGGAAAGTATAGGAGTTAAACCCACCAACCAGCTCTTCGATGACATCCTCATTGGAGCTCTACAGAGACAGAGCCCGGCCCGGGCCAGGCGGCATTAGGAACTCTCCACCCAATCTGCGGTTCTATCTTACAGCAGCCCTGAAAACTCAGACAGACTGTTAGGGCACAAGGAAGATGTTCCCGGCAGCCCTGCTGAACTAGCAACAGAATTGAATCATGCCAAGGTCCCACAGCACTGAAAGGCTGAATTGCTGAGGAAAACTACCCCCTTTATGGGTACAATATGGATATGAGTAAGCCACAGCTCCTGCCATGGCCAGCCTACATTGGTTTGTCCTGCTCTGTGAGATGACAAGTTTCAGAGAAATGTATTCTGTATTTTATATCCTCCCCATTTTGTGTACACACCCCTACCAAGTGTGATGATGCGTAAGGCTTGGCAAAAGTCTGCAAGAACAGTCAGGCTGACTGTTCCACAGGATACCTGGGACAGGAAGTTGAAACAACAATAAGAGCAAAATACAAATTTGCTCATGGTCTACTGTGAAATGAAACATAATAATTTTATTCTCTAATATTCCTAAAATGTGTGAGGAATATAACTGGAGGGAGAAGGGGAGGTCCATATTCTTTTGTGCATGGAACTGTGGACACTAGTGGGAACACCCTGGGAGAGCCGTAGAGCAGTCCCCATATTTGAATCTGGGTTCTTGCCCCTCCCTAATCATCTTGGGGTCTTGGGTGTGGAGTTCCCCCTATGCCAGCTCTCACCTCAGCCTGGCACTGGCCAGTAATGTCCACCTGGTGCATCTGCACCTTGACCCTGCAGATGATGTAGTGGGGCCCATGAACCAGCTCCTTGACGACATCCTCATTGGAGCTCTGCAAAAACAAAGCTAGGTACTGAGACAAAAGGCATTGGGAACCTTCTAGCCAATCTGTGGTCCTATGTTATAGCAGACCTAGCAGATAAAACAGTCTATTAGGACATAATGGAGATATTCTTAGGAGCCCTGCAGAACTAGCAGCAGAATTGAATCCTGTCAGGGTCCCACAGCATTGAAACACTGAAACACTAAGGAAATGTACCTCATTTATGGGATGATATGGCGATGAGTAAAGCCAAAGCTCCTGCCCTGGCTGGCCCACAGTGGTTTGCTATGCTCTGTGAGATGACAAGTTGCGGAGAATTGTGTCCATATCTTAATCCCTCTGCATATTTTTTCTTCCTTCCTCACTCCCTTTCTTTTCCTTCCTCTCCTTCTTTCTTTCTTTCTTTCTTTCTTTCTTTCTTTCTTTCTTTCTTTCTTTCTTTCTTTCTTCCTTCCTTCCTTCCTTCCTTCCTTCCTTCCTTCCTTCCTTTCTTTTTTTTCTTCTTCCCTACCTTTCTTCCTTTTTTTTTTTTTGTAAAAACCACCTATCAAGTGTGATGATATGTAAGGCAAGAGGTGTGCAAGGACAGCCAAGCTGAATGCTCCACAGGGTACCAGGGACAGGAAATTAAATCATGGAAACCAGCCAAATGTAAAGACAACAAGAATGTGTTTACTTTATGAGTCCAACAAATACA